CCGGCGGGTGAGGCGCTGGGCTGGCGGGGGAGCCTGGGGGCTGGTCGCCCGGCGCCCCGCATGGCGGGGGAGCGCGGGCTGCGCGCCGCCGGGGGCGCCGGGCGGGAAGGTGAGGTGAAGGGCAAGGGGCGCGGGGCGCGGCGGGCGCTTTGCGCAGGCTCCTTCACACGTCGCCCGCCGCACGTGTGAACGCGAGTCCGCGGGCAGGGCGCGGGCGCTGTGCGGCGGCCCGCTCGGGCGGGGCTCCGACTCGCTCGCCGGGGCCGCCCGTCCCCCTGCCCGCCGTCCAGGGCAGCTGCCCAAACGAAGGTCCGGGGGCTCCGACCCCCGATCGGCGGCTTCGGGCACCCGGGCTTCCCCTCCTGCTGCATCCCCGCCCCCCGTGCATCCTTGCTTGCAAGCGGGGTGCCCTTGGGAGGCAAGGTCCTTTGAGGACACGCAGGCTCGAGAGCACGTGCAAATGCCAACAGGAATTGGCTGTCTCGCCGGTCTGCGCCCCGTTTCCCTCCGCCTGCTGCGCATCAGGCTGGACAGCCCGTGCGAAACAAAAATGACATCTTTCCTCTGCACTGCACTTGTTCTCCAAGGAGCTCACGGTGGCAGGCGTGGCTCTCCCCCGACTTCCTCCTCCCCTGTTATCCGGGCAACAAGCAGCCTTGTGAGGAAGGCTAGGCTGGCTGGCCCAGGTTGACTTTATGCTAGTCCCCAGCCTAGCCTTTCCTGCCCAGCCACCTTTCCACTTCTGGACCACAATGCCCATCAGCCTGAGCCAATGCTGGCTGGGGATGAGGGGGGCTGTGGCCCAACATGTGGATGGGTGCAGCTGCTCCTTGTACTTGGCCTGCATGCATAGAGCCCTTGCTTTAACAATGTCTCTCTCACTGCATTGACTAAAGCTAATCTGCACATGTCAAAGAGGTTGGAAAGGTGACACTAGATTGCTTTACTTCCTGAGTTTAGCTCCCAGTTTCCCTGTTTGGATGCAGCTCATGGTGCACTTTGTAGCCTGACATTTTAATTTGATAGCTTGGAGAGTGTGGCTTCAAATGACTGAATCTGTACTGATATCTCCCTGTGTTTTCTCTGAATGTCTCCTGGGCTTTGCACCACGTAAAGGCAGCTGGCTCTTCAGAAGAAGCAAAAATCTAGCCCAACAGGAACACAAGTTACTTGCATAGTCACGCTTGTATATTCATCCTCAAGTGATCCGTGTTTGGTATAACCCTGCCTTTTGCAGTTCACCCATTTGAAACAAATTCTGCTTTGGGTAGCAGAAACGCATCAGCAACAGTTATGCAGACCTTATTTTTGAATAGGCCCCTGGTCGGTTGGATAATTAATGCATCGCTGAAAATAGTCGAGCTGTTAGCTAACATGCTACTTGTGCTGGCTAAATTTTTTAGGAGGTCAGGGAGCCAAAGAAGTGGCATACTTGTTTAAAAAGAAACTCCCTTCCTGGTCTAGAATATGCAGGCGGGGACATATTTTCTTTTCAGTGGCAGGCAAAGATCTTTTTATTTTCCTGGTATTTTAACTGTTAGATTGATTTTAATGGTTTTGTAAAATTTAATTTAGAGTATGGTCTTACCTTTTACATATTCATGGATTCCAGTAAGTGTGATACTGGTATTTTTTAATTGTCCTATGATTAGGTTATAATATTGAGATGTTAGGGTTTTATTATATGGCTATATTGATCGTTGGGTTTTTGTTTGTTTGTTTTTGGTCACCTCCCAGGGAGCCTTGTGGTTAATGGGGCAGGCTAAACATCTAATAAATAATAAAATAATGAATATGGGCCTCAATCCCACTTTTGCAACTATAGAAGGTCTCTTTGAATAAGCCAGTCCCTTTCAGCACCAGACCCTGCTCTGTGCATTGACCACGCAATGGATTTTGTTCTGCAAGTGCAGCTGAGGCGGTTTGTCAGGATAATAAGCAGCCTTCCTCAGCTGAATTTTGCTTCAGCCGTCAGGTACCAGCTCTTCCCATCCCGGCGGCACATCTCTGTGGCAGCAGTTCTGCAGAGAGCTTCCGGTGAGCAGAAGCAGCCTCCTACGGAGCCACATGCAGAGCCTCCGCCGGCAGAATCGCAGCACGAAGAGTATCTGCACTCACGTCCCAGGTAACCTGCAGGGCTCTGCGGGACCTTATTTTTCTCATGCTTAACAGCCAGTTCTGGGGTAATCCTTTGCGTCCAGGCAGGGTGTAATATCCCCGCCCCCCCTCCCCCCGGGAATGACCCTTTTAGTGAATCCCTTTGAAGCCTGGATCGCCTTCTCCTGTCCATAATCCCGGGATCATGTGAGCAACATGGCGATGCCTTTTCCTCTCTTACCCAAGCAATAGTTCTCCACTGGACTGATAACTGAGTAATCCCACGAAAAGCAGATCCCTTGACAGCACGAAGAGACAAACGGTGTGTCCACTAGCACAAGAGAGGAGTTGAGGGCAGTTCCACGTTGGCACCCGTTGTGAGGTTGTGGGAAAGCGCGGTGCGATGCTCAAGCCGCAGGCTTCTTGGTCCTGGAGACGGTCTGTGCAGTGCTTTCCTATGCTTCCTCCAAGTTACACGGATCAGGGTGGTGAAGAATCGGAGGGCTACGAGAGCGAGGAGCAGCTGCAGCATCGGATCCTGACGGCAGCCCTGGAGTTTGTGCCTGCTCTCGGCTGGACACCGGATGCAATTGCAGAAGGAGCAAAGGTGTGCACTGAGGGAGCTGTACGTGCGATCCTACGAGGGCGCACTCAGAACAAAGTCCCGTGAGATCAGTTGGTTAACTCAGTGTAGGATTCCTGCCCAAAACACCCAAGAAGCACATACATTCCAAATTAAGGGCACAATTCTGTGCAAGCCTAGATAGGAACAAACCGCCTGCAAAATGTTGTAAGCCTTTGAACTTGCCTAGGATGGCACCTTAAGTCAGTTTTAAGCTCTGTTCTAAATTAGCAGGATTGCTCTTAATGAGGGTGCTGAGAAGTAAGGTAAAAAGGTAAAGGTTTCCCCTGGACATTAAGTCCAGTCATGCCTGACTCTAGGGGGTGGTGCTCATCTCCGTTTCCTAGCCGAGGGGGCCAGCATTTGTCCGCAGACAGTCTCCGTGGTCGTGTGGCCGCATGACTGAACACCGAGGTGCACGGAACGCTGTTACCTGCCCACCGAAGTGGTACCTTTCTATCTACTCGCATTTGCATGCTTTCGAACTGCAAGGTTGGCAGGAGCTGGGACAAAGCATGGAAGCTCACCCCATCTGCGGATTCGAACTGTCAACTTTTCGATCAACCAGCCCAGCAGCTCAGCAGTTTAAACCAATGCAAAGGGCATCAGATTCTTTGCAAAGTTAGAACTTCCAGGGTTCCCTAGCAGGGACCGATTCCAGTTAACCCACGTAAAAGCCAGAGCTCCATTTGTGCTGCTTTCCCACAATTCGTGCTGCAAAACGGTGTTGCTTCCTGCCTCACTGGGCAGCGTCCTCTGCTTCCTGGCTGTTTGCTGCTCGATTGCCGGCTGAACCCGCCTTTCTTTCTCCTTTTAGTCACTCGGTCTCTCCGTTGCTGCAGCGGGGCTGTTCCACAACGACGGCAGTGAACTGGTCCTGCACTTCGTCTCCCGGTGCAACTCCAGGCTCTCTGAGCTTCTGGAGGAGCAGGAGAAGCTGGTGCAGCTCGGCCAGGCAGAGTAAGTTCTGTGGTGGGACGGAGCCTCCATTGCCCAGGCTTGGACCTTGGCGTTGGCCTTGGCAAACGGAAGTCGGGGCCTGGCTGTGGTAAACGCTGTCCCTCCTTTCCGAAGGAAGAAGAAGACAGACCAGTTTTTAAAGGATGCCTTAGAAGCCAGGCTGAGGATGCTCATCCCGTATATCGAGAAATGGCCCCAGGTACGAAACTGAGTGACGCTTCGGTTTGCGTTTCCCTGGAGCCCCACTCAGGCTGGTTAGTTTGTGTATCGGAGCCAGTGTATTTATCATCCCCTCTAATAGTGAACTCAGGTGGGCAAGTGCTTCTCAGTGTGGAAATGAAGAGGGGCCACCGCAAATAAGGTAGGGGTTTCCATGGGGGAAAAGCAACCAGCGTCTTCCACCTGCCCTTCCTAAAATTCTTTCCTCTTCCTGCTGAAATAGGTCTGAACTGATAAAAGGCTCTTAATCTAGACTGAACTGAACCCTGGGATAGACTGCAGCTGTTTGTTTGTTTGTTTGTTTGAGGGCTTACATACAATCAAACAGAGTAAAACCAACAAGGCAATAAAACAATAGTGTTGATAAAATTAATAGTAATGCAACAATAATTAAATATCTAAAATAAATAACAAAATGGTAAATCAATAATCTGAGAGGGGATGTAAAGCCCAGTAATACAACCTAGTTCACAGCCAAAATTAAGAAAACCATAAAGTTACAGTTAAAATGGTAGCAACAAGTAAATTTAGAATTCAGCCCAACAGATTTACCCTTCGAAATGAGCATGGACCAAAAAGGTCCCAATCACAGGTTCTCTCAGTTCAAGCCTCCTCAGGACATTCAGGCTTCATTGCCCGCAGAATTTTAAAAAAAGTGACCCGGGGTTCATGGACAGATCCCTGCAGGGCTCAGTGGCGGCCAGCATTCTCCCTCGTGGCAATGAAGACGCATGCCAGTGTTTTGTGCTCGTGTGGAAGAAAATGGGCAGCGTGTTTCTGGAGGGAGAAGTTAGGAGCAGTCCGCGTTGGAAAGGCAGTCATGTTGAGAAGCAGAGCTGCAGTTAGCAAAGAGCACGGTGCATGCAAACTGGCTGCTTCGAGTTCTTTCCCTCGCCTCGTTAATTTCTGTGGCTTCCCCTAGGCCATTAGCATTCTGCTGCTCCCTCACAATATCCCGGCCAGCCTGAACCTCTTGTCGAGTATGGTGGATGACGTGTGGCATTACGCGGGAGACCAGTCCACTGATGTGAGTCCGCGCATTACACGGGGGGCGTTTGCAAAGCGTCAGCAGCAACGTCAGGGAAGGCCTGAACTGGGCAGCTTTGCATGATAAATATGCTCTCAGCTGCATTTGTGGACATTTATGCAGCTCAGACTCTAATAACTTTTCAAGATTCGGGTCTCCAAAGAGCCGTTGGTAGGACAGGCAAGGTTTATTGCAGAAAAAATGGGGAAACACACTTGCTAGGAAACAAAATGCGGGGTGGAAAGGAGTTGGGGGGGACACTCCAAGAATGTAGCAAAAGTCCGCTTTGATTTAAAAACAAGGCCTTGTTCTCTGCCCACCTTCTGGCTTAATACCCGAGCGGGTTGGGGGCTGCACAGTGTTGATTTGAGCATTTAGTTGGCGAGCCTGCGTATTTCGTTCTAGCGTTTCCAGCTCTGATTGACAGGTGGGCATGGTTAAAATTTAAAGTTTGTGCACACAGGAAGACACTTTGTTCTCTCTCTCATACTACCAGAAGCCAGCTCATTCCATGCAGCTGAGTAGACATCAAAAAGGAAGTTGTTCTTCCCACAGCAGGGGGTTGAATTACGGAATGTGCTACCTGGAGGTGCAGCAATGGTTTGAAAGGGCACGGATGAAGCCATGGAGCAGAGGGCTCGTCCTGCAGGCTTTCCCTCCACCATCCTTCTCAGGGCCCGAGTTGGAGAACCCAAGCGAGAGCAAAGCAACTTCTCCGTAATTCCCAGTTCTGGGCTTCCCAAACAGAGCTGCTTGGATTATGCTGAGTTCAGTGCTGCAGGCTGCACAGGGCTCTTGCGCCCTGCAGTGTTCGCCAAAGCGAGCTGCTAAAATGGAACGCAGACGGGGAAGAGGAGGAGGGAAGCGACTTGTAGTTAAGGCGCAGTAAGCCTGTGCCGGGGCTGGGATGTTAGGGTCAGCCAGTTTGTTTTTATGAAGCTGGGCTTTCCGTTGTGCCAGTTCCTGAGCCCGAGACCAGATTGCAAATTTCGTATGTGGCATGGCACGCACAGCCGCAGTTCTTTTCCTGTCTCAAGTATGCAAGAGACTCAATATCTTTCTTGGAGGCACCAGAAATATTTTCGTCTACAGCCGTATAAAACCCGTTCAAACGGCCACGCAAACTGAAAATAGCCAGAATCAACACATTTTTGGAACTGGGTGGATCTGAACTTGGCAGTGGGGAAGCTGGCCATGTTGTATTAGGTTTTTAATTATGAAATGGCTTTCTTTTTATAGAAACGAGCAAACTGGAGTCTGTTTGGGCTGGGCATTAGCCAGCTAAAAACGCCATTCTGCAGCACAGACTTCCACCTCCAGCCGGGACGACAAAGTGAAGGATTCCCTTGGAGGCTCTTAGGCAGCCACCTAAAAATATCCAGGGCTTTATGATAAGAGCCATCTCTGCTATGGCAGGAAATGAAAGCAAAGTAAATTATATCTTAATTAAAGCAATTAATGAATTACTTGACCTATTGTCAACATAAGTAAAGGGTAGGAAAAGCTTAGTGGGTCTTTTAAATGAATGGCTTTAATAAACTGGTGTGAGAAGAAAATGCTAGTCACTATGCTGACAAATTAGTAGCACAGAGACAAATTAAAGGAATAAACCAGAAAGCCAAGAAAAGACTGTGAACACACCAGGAAACCGAAGCTGTTCTTGGAGTAGAAGGGATTACAGATGGGTCTTTTAAAAGATTCAGCCTGAGCAGTAGCATCTTAAGTTATTTTTATCCCGCTGTTTTGGAAATTGGAAAAAAAATGCACCGGTGTTGCTTGCAAGACTTCGTTGCTGCCCTCGTGGGCCGACACCAGATGAGGTCTTGGGGGCTTGAAGACAGATTCTGTTTCCTGTTGGGGCAGCCTTTCATTTCGGAAGGGAAGGAAATAAACATAAGGATGCCATTTGGTCAGGTGTGATTCTGTTTGGGAGAGCATGGCAATCTTCCCAGTAGCCTGAAACTCAGGCGGGGGGAATGGGAAAGTGGCTGCTTCCCAGCCATCGCATGCTTGGCCAGAGCTCCAGAACAAGGAAGGCTGCACTTCTCCAATGCGGAGGCTCCAAACTCTGCTTGCTGGGGCAGATGATTCCCAAGATCCGAGCGCCAGAATCCAAGATGGATGCACCTCCTTGCAGCAAATCTGGCCTGGGGTTGTGAGCAGTGACGCTGCAGTGTGACCAAGTGCCATGGGTGTGCTTTTGGGCATTGCGACTACCTAGTGGCGCCATATTAGCCCGGAACGTGCCCGGGTTCCCCTGCACAGTCTCAGGCTTGAATCCTCTCTGTGCTGCCTGACCCCCGCCCAGGGTTTCCTAGCCCCCCGAAGGTGTGTGGGGCCACAGGCTGCTTTGGGCAGCAGGGTTGGCGGAACCCCGTCAGCAGGATGGCTGGCTGGCTCCCACCCTCGGCTGGGGTGAGCATGCTTGGCTTAATTGGAAATCTTTGCGCATGACCTGCTGAGGTTTGTAGCAAGCAGCAGAGCAAGGAAGGGGGTTGTGCTTGGCTGCGAGATCCCTGTCTGACAAAAATCTGCACGCAGCAAAACACGGGCGTGTGCGTCTGCCGTGAAGCACGGGCCCCACCGCTTGGCTCCTGGCGCGAGCGATGGGAGCGCCCTGTCCGCGCCGCTTGAGGAAGCCTCATTTCTTCGTGGTGTTCATACAGCCTCGTTGCCTGATTCCTGCCCTTGCAGATAAACTGGTACACCCGCCGCACGGTGCTGGCCGGCATTTACAACACTACGGAGCTGGTGATGATTCAGGACTCTTCCCCCGATTTCGAGGACACCTGGTCCTTCCTGCAAAACCGGATAACGGATGCCATGAACGTGGGCCACACCGCAAGGCAGGTGCGTCTGTGAGCGGCGCTTTCCGCCAGCCCACCCGTCCATCACCCGTATGACCTGTAGTGGCTTCTACCCATTTGCACATCTTTGTAAAATGCCTGCAGCAACTAGCTGCAAAACTTCTGCCCTCAGGGCCAAACCTCCAAGCCTCCTTGTGGTTCTCCAGAAAGATGGGCCAGTTCCCCAGCTTTCGTGCCGCCTTCCCCCGCCCAGAATGGCTTCGCTGCCTCTTCGAAGGCTGAGCTCCCCGGAGCAAGAGCTGTGAGCAAGAATCCTCCCAGCCCTCTTTTTCTCCCACAAGTGCTTCTGCCACCAGCCAGCGCCAGAGCCTGCCCCTGAGGACTGCCCTCCTTGGGCTTGGGCTGGAACAACCTCTTCCAGCGGCCCCTGCCTGGTAGCTTCCCTGTGACGAGGTTTCCCCCCAGACCGTTGTTCTTGTCCAGTGCATGGAATGTTTCTAGCATCTGGCATTCTGAGGGCTTAAGATCCCGTGACTTATTCCCCTGGCACCCCATGCTTCCACGAATCCCTGCATTCTTGTCTACGGCCACCTCACGGTGAAGGCAGCCTTGCGTGGAGGTGCTGCCAACTCTGCAGCAAGTTCTTTCAGTATGTCCTGCATCCTTGCATCCGACCTTACCTGTGCCGCTTCGCCGTAATTTTATGGCATCCTGCAGTGATGCAGTTCTGGTGGAGAGTCCACGTTAATGACATTACTGAAAAAGGCAACACTCTATGCAGGATGCTGAGGAGAGAATCTGAATTTAGTCAGGCTGGTTTGCTTAGGAAATTTTCCTGGAGTTTTCTGTTTGAGAGCGTCTCAAGTCTGGCACTGTTGTGTGTGGTCTGATTGTGCCTGCCTACACATGCAGCTTCTCCGATCGCTCTGATTGCTGACGTTTAAATGTCACTGCATTGTAGTTTCTGGCTTATCCAAATCCTTCCAGCCATGGAGCGTGGACTTGCCAAATGCTTTGTCCCCGTAAAATATTTCCCATTTATCTGCAAAAATAAAGCCAGTAAGTAGCGGCATTTCCAGTTCTTGTGCTTATGTTTTCAAGGTGCAAGCAACCGGGGAAGCCCTCGTTCAGGGCCTACTGGGAGCAGCCGTTACTGTAAGTAATGCGGGGGCAGGAGCTTTCCCACGCCGTTGCTCAGCTTCCTTCCCCAGGAATACTTCCACAATTGCGGAAGTGGAGAAGCAGTGCAATCTTACGTTGGCATTGGGTTGTTCTTGTAGGTTTCCTAAAGGAAGGGTCCGTGGGGCTTTCCCAGAAGGATCCGTATGGATGATCTAGTTGTGGAATGTTGTCCGTTGTTCCGCAAGACTCCCTCAATACTGCAGGCGAATATTTGGAGGGTCCCACGGCACAGTCAGTCAGGCGTGCTGCGTCCTGTGCCAGGCCTGCCAAAGGAGCTCTGAGCTGCGCTTTGGCCCTGGAAACCGCCCTGCCTTCGCAGGCGATGGCACACGTGGGGAAAGGGCATCCCTGCTGCCCCGCCTGCTCCTCCCACAGGTATCCCGGGGGTCTCCGTGGAGGCATGGTGGCCCCACCCCTCACCTTGAGCGGTTGTGCAGAACTGGGAGCCCCGGGCAGAAAGGATGGCCAGGTGTCCTCGCTGGGAACGAGGGGCCCCCAGGTGCCTGCCAGCGCCAGCCTCCCCCCAGGAGCTCAGGTGGCACTGGCTGCCGCCTTTTCTGCTGCAAGTCCACAGGGACCCAGGGCCTGCCCAGGGGTGCAAGGGAGTGAAATCCTTTGGCCTGTCAAAGTTTTGCAAAGTCCCGCATGCCCGCTTCCTTGCATAAGGGAGGGTCCACGTTCATCCCTTTCACAGTAGGATTCGCACCTCTTTTTGCGAGCAATCGCGTACCTGAAGTTTCCCCTTGGTTTTGGAGCTTCTTGGGAATGCACAAACCTGGCAAGATTCCCCACACGTAGAGGTAATCACTCTCCCTGCTCTCACATTTTACGTGCCTGTGTGAGAATGGCTGATTTCACGGCGCTGAGCTGCTTGCTGGCAATCCGTACCGCGGGCCTGTGGAACTTTGGTTCTCACCCAAGTTGGCCTTCCGAGGCCCTGGCTTGGCTCCCACAATGCCCACCCCTGTTTCACCAGCCACTTGACGGCCTTCCGCCTTGGCACGTCTCTTCCTGGCTGCACAGACGGTAAGGCAGTCGGAGCTGGAAGTCCAAACAGGTGGATGAGCTCGGCATGTTGTTCTGGACCTTCTGCCCTGCTCAGCACCAGGGCTTGGCCCCCCAGAGCGTCACTGACGGGATTTGGCCCTCCGGCTGCAGGAAGTCCTGCCAGATGTGCTACGAACAGATGCCCATGTTTAGCCCATGAGCCCAAATCCTGCGAGCCCTTCCTCCGGAGTTGCCCTGGTCTTTGGAAGTTCAGCTTCGCTTTCGAGTGATCTGCCTCATTGTTGTACGCAAATGCCCCTGGGAGAGCAAGCCGTCTTCCGGGAACAGCTGCTCACGGCTCCGGTCTTCTCACGGAGGAACTGAAAGCATCCAAGGAATCCGGCATTTCCATGGCACACCTTTTGGGAAGCCCTGTTTGAGAGTTGCCCATCTCAGTGGCCACGCACCGTGAGCGGGGAGCGGTGCTGCATGCAGGCTCTGTCATCTTTCAGGGTTCATTCTCTGATGTTTGTGTTTGTGTCCTCGACAGATAAAGAATCTCACAGGGCTGAGCCAGCGCCGCTGAGTGGGAGAAGACGGAGGGGTGCGCAACTTTCCCAAGACCTGCCAAGGAATGGTGCATGACGCCTGGGAATCCCATGGAAAGGACTCGGCACAAGTCGACACATCCTCTTCAGCCTATTGGAGGAACTTCTGTTTTCTGGGCCACATAAATGTCGAAACCGGGTCTCCTGATTATGCCATTTACCTTGATGTTTGACCTGCCTAAAGAAAAGTTACAAGTATGGTCCATTTATAGAAAATCATTCGGATGACCCCTTTTGGGCCCAAGGAGTCTTTTCCCCCTTTTTGTCCAAAGAGGCGTGTGTTGTGTGTAGAAATTGCAAAGCTCTATGATTTTGTTCCTGTTCCCAGGAGACTGAAGATGGTGTCACAGGTTCTGGTTCTGTTCTTTTCGTGGCTTTTTCTCTGCTAGGATATACAACAACAAAGTGGATTACCATTGTCAACTCAGAGCCCGATTCCCTATCAGCAGCTTGCTGACAATGCGTGCTGAATTTTCTGCAAGTGCATCATTTCCTCAGGTCCTGGACATGAGCTTTTCTGTAAACTAATTAAAAGCAGCCAGTGGTTTTCCATGCGACACGTACAGTTATTTTGTTTAGGGAGAGCTTTCAGTCTAGCGTGGAGAAAGCAGAGAAGCAAAGGTTTTAGTGTGACAAATCCAAGGACTACCACATCCATGTACCTGCAAAGCTTGCCTGTGTCTAAGCTCTTTATTTAGGTAAGGCAGATTCATCTTCCCCTCAGCCAGGTGCTTTGTGCTGCTGGAATTTGGTCCAAACCTTTGTGAGGTTGAGACCCCAGTCCCTGTTCAGTCAGAAAGTCGTGGGTCTTTTTCCCAAGGTTGCAAAGGGCTACTTTCTCATCATTCCCCACATTTCTGCAGTTTCTAAATCCTTACTTCCCTTAAAACTTTTCCCTAGCTGCTGTGGTTGAATCAAGTGTTGAAGCCTTTATAAAGGGATACCTTTATATGTGTCCAAAGATTTAATGCTTCCTTAAGTAGACCCTTCCTCATGACATGCCTTCAGATGGGCAGAGCAAGCGTCCGCCATTCTTGCAAAAACTAACGCTCCCAAGGCGCATCAGAGCCTCCAAAAGATTCCCGGGAAGCCGATGTTACATCGAATCTGCCTGAATTGTCGTAAGAGAGTTTGCCAGGGCTTTGTGTGGCAAAGCAACAGCACGGCTGTCTTCTGGTACTTCTTTTGGAGTCCTGTGCCATATAGGGCTGGCACCTCAACACTTGCTCACCCAGGTGACCCCTTGGAGGAAGCTCTTGGAGGGAGGAGGAGGAGGAGGAGGAGGTAAAGCTCGAGACGGAAGCTTCTGGAGACATACAAAAGAGAAGTCCTGAGGAAGGAACCAGAAAAAGTAGCTGTAGGCTGCTGGTCTTTGGCCAGTGTCCCACCACCGATGGCCAGTAACTGGAGCCTCTTGCAGCTGCCTCTGACTCCTACAGTGCAGAACTTGAGACACATTTTAGTGATCCCCTCCCTTTGTGAACCGTATAACTATTGGGCTCCCTTCCTTAGGTTAAATGGTTTTGTTGTTGTTTAGCAAAGTCACGTCCAACCCATCGCGACCCCACGGACAACATTCCTCCAGGCCTTCCTGTCCTCCACCATCTCCTGGAGTCCACTCAAGCTCACACCCACTGCCCCAGTGACTCCATCCAGCCACCTCATCCTCTGCCATCCCCTTCTTGTTTTGCCTTCTATTGTTCCCAGCATTAGGCTCTTCTCCAGGGAGTTCTCATTAGGCGGCCAAAGTATTTGAGTTTCATCTTCAGGATCTGGCCTTCTAAAGAGCAGTCAGGGTTGATCTCCTCCAGGACTGACCGGTTTGATCGCCTTGCGGTCCAAGGGACTCACAGGAGTCTCCTCCAGCACCACAATCCAAAGGCTTCAATCCTTCGGCGCTCAGCCTTCCTTATGGTCCAGCTTTCACAGCCATACATTGCAGCTGGGAAAACCATCGCCTTGACTATATGCACTTTTGTCGGCAGGTGAAGTCTCTGCTTTTTAGGATGCTGTCTAAATGGTTTATGTTAATGTTAATTTTTCTTCTACCTTCTTTTCCTGAGGAAACCCTTCTAGCTGAATTAATTGCTCGCTGGTTCCCCCCACCGCTGTTCTTTCAGCAAACAGTATCCTGACAGGCTGAGTCTGGTGCCAAGGATTCCCCCCTCCAGCCAACTCGCAACTAGGAATGCAAGTGCCCGGTTTTCCATGACTCACAGAGCTCTGGTTTTTCCAGAGGGAAACTGGAGTGGCATCCTTGGATTTGTCTCTTGAGGAACAGCTCCGAGCATGGATGGCATCCAGAGTGGTGCACAAATGGGCATTTGCCCCGTTTCTCCTGACTTCTGGGAGCTGCATAGCTCCATTTTTCAGTTCTCACCTGAGCAAGTAGCAGTGCGGGAGAGGTCAAATCTTGGCCCACGGGTGGCGTTGCATTTGGAGCAGCTCGCAGGGGCTGGTTTAGTTGTGGGTGGGGTGGGTGGCGATGAGGCTGGGCCCAAGGCATTGGAAATGGTAGCCTCATGCTAGTAAAAGGAGCGTGGCCACCCAGGGAAGTGGCAAATGTGACCCCCCAGAAGAGCTTGGTCTTTGGGTCTGATGCTCTGCAAAAAAAGGGAAAACCCTCATGCTCTGGTTGGGGTCCTCTAACTGAAGCGCCTCTCGTTGGAGTCCTCTAACTGAAGTGAATTGAGACATTTCCTTGTCTCAATTCCCTCCTCCTGCACCTCACCGATGCTTTATAGCATCTTTCCTAAAGGAGAGAGGGCAGGAAATCTTTGTCCCAGTCATAGTTTTACTCTGATGAATTTGGAATGCGTCTTGCAGAATGCACAGATCTGTGTTTCTTGGTAAATAGTTTGGACTGTCTGGCCCCATCGTTCTTTAAAAGTAATGCTGAACGCACAAGGCCGTCCTGGGCTGACAGGTGAGTGGGGAGGGGGCCTCACCGGCAGAGAGCAGGCAACCTTCTGGAGTCTCCCTGCGCACTCACACAGGTCTGCCTCCTGCCAAACTTACCTACCTTACCTGCTTGCCAAACTTACCTGCCAAACTTGCTTTACAGCAGCATCTCAGGTGTTTCTCCAGAACTGCTCCTGCCTGACAAAAAAGATTAGGCAGGTCCTGATGGAGAAAAGGAGTGATCCCCCGACCCCGAAATGCTTCCCCTCTCCCGCAGCTGCTCATCTGATGCTTGGTTGGTCTCCTTCAAGCCACCTTCCCCAACCGGGTGTCCTCCTCCAAGCATGCTCATTGGCTGGCAAGCCCGCCCTGCACACCTGGAACAGGCCAGGCTGAGGACAGCAGTGTTCTGAGCACCACATGCAGCTTTTTAACGCACCCAGGCCTTCCACTGGTTTTAAGGATACGGCTTCATGGCATTTTAAACTTTTTTCTAACAGACTCTACATTTGTAGCATTGAACAGTGGTTTTCCAAAACTGTTGCTATTACGGCTTTATGTTTTGGTTGCAACTCCACAGGGCAGTGTTGCACTATTACATTTCCTTTGGATATGAGAGAAATGGAGCCTTTGGGTGTTTTGGGAGTATGTTTTATTAGCAAATATATAAGAGGCTTCCAAAACTTAGCAAATATATAAGGGGCATAAAAACACGCAGGAACTGCCAATGTTGCCACACGTTTCCAGGGGGCAACAGATAAGTGCAGCTCATTCCATTTTTTAAAAAATCCCCTCTAGGATAAATTGCTTCCGATCTGGAACTTCTTGTTCTTTGTCTAATTGCCAGACTTCGATGAGTCAAGTGCCACATTCCCATGACTGGAAAGATTTAGACCAGACAGTTGAAGGACCAATTCCCAACCTTGCCGGTCGGAGGCGGGGGGAAAGGGGGTCCCAGCCCTGCCACTGTTGCTACATCACCAAGACGAATGGTTTCCCATCAAACGTTCAGTCCCCAACCGAAAACATTCCATTTTCTGGGCCTATATTTAGCCCGAAAACAAGCTGCACTTGACACGCAAAGCGCCACAGCAGGCGTCCTGCCAAAGTTCAGCAGCAAGCTGCAGATACTTCCAGCACCGCTATCGCTGTCAGCGAACTCTGTTGGTGCTCGGCTGGTGGGGAAAGCAGCCGCAGTCATCGCCCAGGCGCGTTCCAGAGATTTATTTATTCATTTGGAATTTTTGTATGCCGTCCCATTCGCATAAGCCTCCGGACGGCTTCCAACAAAATAAATAATCATATAGATACATATAAAATCTGGATTCACCCTGGCTAAAAGTTTAAAACCAATAAATAATATTAACAATTATTAAAATATTGTTTAAATAAAAAGGTCTTGGCCTGGTGCCGAAAAATAAATGACGGCGGCACCAGGCAGACCTCTCTGGGGAGCGCGTTCCATAAGTTGGGCGCCACCACAGAGAAGGCCCTCCCCCGGGTACTCACCCTCCTAATGTCCTTCACGGAGGGCTCCCGGAGGAGGGCCTCTGCTGCCGATCTCGGGGTGGGAGGGCAAATATGGAAGCAGGCGTTCCTTTAGGTATTCAGGTCCCAAGCCATTAAGGGCTTTGTAGGTGATAACCAGCACCTTGAATTGGCCCGGACTTCGATGGGGAGCCAGTGAAGCTGGTAGAGGACTGGGGTTATGTGAGAATAATGCCCAGTCCCTGTCAGCAGCCTGGCTGCTCTGTTTTGCACCATCTGAAGTATCCGGACCGTCTTCAAGGGCAGCCCCACATAGAGCACGTTGCAGAAATCCAACCGGGAAGTAACCAGTGCATGTGTCACTGTCGCCAGGCAATCGTCCTCCAGGTAGGGATGCAGCTGATGGATTAGCCGAAGCTGAAGAAAAGCGCTCCTCGCCACC